AGTTAATTAAAACATTTTTACTAATATAAGACTAAAAATTAACTTTTCACTTAATTAAAATAAAAAGTCGAAAGAACCTGATCTTTCAGATCAAGTGGCTTTAGTCACGCTTGTAAGATTTACATCCTCCTCTCCTAGAGGCAACGGTTCGAACCAACCCATGACAAAATGTTTAAAAATAATAATAATAAAATAAAAAGTCGAAAAAAATACACTAATAAACAATTTTCTCAAAAATTGCCAGAAAACCATATAAATATAATAAAAACTAAACCGTGCCCACCTAGCAACAAAGGCCGCCTTTAATTATGGGGGATGACTTTGACTGGTTGCATGATGTAAGGATAAGTTTAAAAAGACGTTGACACAACAGACATCCCATTGAATACGGCAAAAACGGAAGGACACCCCCATTAAAGTTTTTAATCACTTACTTACGGTAATGATATCACCTTAACAAGCTGTGCATCACTCATGCGAACTAAAGGAATTTGAAATTTGATTTCGAGTCCACACTGCTATATAGCTGTACCATCATAATTGTTTTTTTTTTTTTGTTTTTTTTTGAGAAAGTTTTTTATTAGTGTATTTTTTAAAACTTTTTATCTTAATCAATTTTTTACTTAATTTTTAGTCTTATATTAGTAAAAATGTTTTAATTAACTCTTTAATTTTTATACTAAATTTTTTTAGAGAGTCAATAATATCTTTAATATAAATTTATACTTAACATAATGGTTAAATTGTCATTATTATTATTGTTTTTTTTCCATCAGTTAAATTGTCATTAATTAAATTTAAAAAACTGTTGAAATACTTAATTGAAAGAAAACAAGGATCAAATATTTAATAATAAACAAATATTTTTAAGTGATGATAGATTTAATATAACTTCACATAAAAATATTTTTTTATTATTAAATATTTAATCCTTGTTTTCCTTCAATTAGGTATTTCAGCAGTTTTTTAAATTTAATTATTGACAATTTAACAACAGCAAAAAACAATAATAATAAGAATAACAATTTAATTATTATACTAAGCATAAATTTATATT